TGTATATATGTATGTATGGGTTAGTTGAAAATAGTTTATGGGGGGAAAGGCTTAGTTAGGAATGTCAAATGATCAAATGTTTGATATAAACCAAATGTGCATGGTATTCTTTCGCTTATTTATTCAAAAATATTATATACCAACTATAAAAGCACATTCTGCCTTGCTTTGCATGTAAAAGTGTAGAATCCAAAACTAGGGCAATAATGGTGCTGCAGACGCCATAGTGATGAGACAACACTGGATATTGCGTTTAGTTTTATAAGACACCCTGGAGAAGAGAATTAACCATCCAGCCTAGGCCACCAGTTTCAAGGTGGCCCAAGAGTTGAAGCCAGGTGTTAAGAGGAGATTGACAATCTATCGAGGCTGATCATCCTGAAGATGGAAGACTAAGTGAAGATGTGAAAAATGTCTTTAAATATTTTAAAGGCTATTGTCTGGAAGCTTTCATAGACTACTGCTTGGTTTCTTAGGTAGCAGAAGTTATAACATCAATAGCTATGAGTTATACGAAATTGGGTTTCAGTTAATATCACACAGTGTGTCAGCTCCTTTACCAGACCCTAGGCATATAAAGATGAGCAGGACAAGATCCCCTTCCTCACAGTTAATCCATAAATTCATATTCCATATAGAGAAGTGGCTTCAGACACAATGGCTCTTTCAACAATGAGATTCATTAGGAAACTGGATGCCTCTTAACACACTGAGCTCCCATCTCTGGAACACAAAAGGAAAGACATTTCAGGTACTGTTTGGGGCACTGAGGCTGGGCTGATGGTACCTGTGCCTAGCTGTGGTGTTCTGGTAGCTGCCAAGAACCAGGACTCCTATTTGCCAGGACAAGCAAAGGGGGGTAGCACAAGGAGAGTCTGAGCTGTGTTCCTGGAGGAAAGCAAAAGATTAAAGCCAAAAAAGTGGCCCTGAGAATCAGGTACAAAGAAGTCACAGACTGTCAACAGGAGAGCAATTCTCGAGTCCAAAGAAGGGAAGAGCAGACATAGCCAGGATGCATGGTGTGAGCCTGGGGAAAACCATCATTTGGGAACAGCCTGGGAATGCCGGCCAGTTAGTGGCTTGTTGGGAGCTCCATGTGATCAAGCAGGCTTTGGCTTGGATCAGATGGGATTGGACAAGACGCTGAATGATCCTTTGTCAGGGGTGTTAGAGATGGGACTTGTGATAGATGTCTTCCATTTGCCTCTGTAGCTCTGCTCACCACTCTTCTCTACCCCGTGTGGATCTAGGAAGTTGACCTACATGGCCTGCATCCGTGGAATCCTCGCCCTTTGGATCTAGTTTGGTTTAGATAACAGCTAGAGCAGTGGTTTGGAGTCTTTGAAGAGGTCCTGCATATCCCTTGTTAGCTGAGAATAGCTAGACATTAAAGAGCGGGGAAGAGAGTGGAGTTAGAATCCCTCTGTTCCCTGCTTGCCTCACCATGAGGTCACCTTGGGATTGCTGTTTTTCTTGGATGAGGGTCACAGCTCCTCTTAAAATGTTCCTGTTTACATAGCTTTTTCTTCCAGGATCCAGCAGCCACTCCCTGCCCTCTACCCTCTAAGCCTAGAAGGTGGTAACAGCTCCAGTTACTAGCTCCAGGTACTGCACTATCTCTTAGGGATCTCCTACATCTTGTCCATCCTATTTAAATACTTCTTAGATTATACTAATGTGAACGTTTCATCTGTTTCTTGGTTGAACAGTTCAAGGTAGGCCATATCAACAAGATGACTTTAAAATAAATTTAAAATTAAAATCATTCCCTTAAGGATGTATATATGTATGTATGGGTTAGTTGAAAATAGTTTATGGGGGGAAAGGCTTAGTTAGGAATGTCAATGATCAAATGTTTGATATAAACCAAATGTGCATGGTATTCTTTCACTTATTTATTCAAAATATTATATACCAACTATAAAAGCACATTCTGCCTTGCTTTGCATGTAAAAGTGTAGAATCCAAAACTAGGGCAATAATGGTGCTGCAGACGCCATAGTGATGAGACAACACTGGATATTGCGTTTAGTTTTATAAGACACCTTGGAGAAGAGAATTAACCATCCAGACTAGGCCACCAGTTTCAAGGTGGCCCAAGAGTTGAAACCAGGTGTTAAGAGGAGATTGACAATCTATCGAGGCTGATCATCCTGAAGATGGAAGACTAAGTGAAGATGTGAAAAATGTCTTTAAATATTTTAAAGGCTATTGTCTGGAAGCTTTCATAGACTACTGCTTGGTTTCTTAGGTAGCAGAAGTTATAACATCAATAGCTATGAGTTATACGAAATTGGGTTTCAGTTAATATCACACAGTGTGTCAGCTCCTTTACCAGACCCTAGGCATATAAAGATGAGCAGGACAAGATCCCCTTCCTCACAGTTAATCCATAAATTCATATTCCATATAGAGAAGTGGCTTCAGACACAATGGCTCTTTCAACAATGAGATTCATTAGGAAACTGGATGCCTCTTAACACACTGAGCTCCCATCTCTAGAACACAAAAGGAAAGACATTTCAGGTACTGTTTGGGGCACTGAGGCTGGGCTGATGGTACCTGTGCCTAGCTGTGGTGTTCTGGTAGCTGCCAAGAACCAGGACTCCTATTTGCCAGGACAAGCAAAGGGGGGTAGCACAAGGAGAGTCTGAGCTGTGTTCCTGGAGGAAAGCAAAAGATTAAAGCCAAAAAAGTGGCCCTGAGAATCAGGTACAAAGAAGTCACAGACTGTCAACAGGAGAGCAATTCTCGAGTCCAAAGAAGGGAAGAGCAGACATAGCCAGGATGCATGGTGTGAGCCTGGGGAAAACCATCATTTGGGAACAGCCTGGGAATGCCGGCCAGTTAGTGGCTTGTTGGGAGCTCCATGTGATCAAGCAGGCTTTGGCTTGGATCAGATGGGATTGGACAAGACGCTGAATGATCCTTTGTCAGGGGTGTTAGAGATGGGACTTGTGATAGATGTCTTCCATTTGCCTCTGTAGCTCTGCTCACCACTCTTCTCTACCCCGTGTGGATCTAGGAAGTTGACCTACATGGCCTGCATCCGTGGAATCCTCGCCCTTTGGATCTAGTTTGGTTTAGATAACAGCTAGAGCAGTGGTTTGGAGTCTTTGAAGAGGTCCTGCATATCCCTTGTTAGCTGAGAATAGCTAGACATTAAAGAGCGGGGAAGAGAGTGGAGTTAGAATCCCTCTGTTCCCTGCTTGCCTCACCATGGGGTCACCTTGGGATTGCTGTTTTTCTTGGATGAGGGTCACAGCTCCTCTTAAAATGTTCCTGTTTACATAGCTTTTTCTTCCAGGATCCAGCAGCCACTCCCTGCCCTCTACCCTCTAAGCCTAGAAGGTGGTAACAGCTCCAGTTACTAGCTCCAGGTACTGCACTATCTCTTAGGGATCTCCTACATCTTGTCCATCCTATTTAAATACTTCTTAGATTATACTAATGTGAACGTTTCATCTGTTTCTTGGTTGAACCCTGGCTGATACAGGATTCTGGATTGAGTAACAAGATGGACTAGATTATTTCTAAGAACTCTTACACTTCTAGAGCTCCGAATTTCTTGTCACTGATCTTATATTTTTGTATACCTGAGTGATGAGGATTAAATTTCTGCACCTAGAAACTCACAGCAAATATTTTTGTAGCACATAAGAAGTTCATCTAGAGACTCATGATTTGGCTTAACCACATAATTTATATGATTTATTTTTTTATAAGAATTTGTGTCTTCAGTATGAATTGCAGTTCATAGTCTCAGTTGCTCACACTATGTCTGAAGGGTCAGCTAACATCTTTATTGGTGTCATGTAAAAGAGCCAAAGGGCACTTAATCTGGCCAAGCAACTACTGTCCAGACTTTGGCAATTTCATAAAAGAGCTGAAATTAATCTGAAATATTTTTCATAAATAAGCTGCTCAGCCACACTGTGACACTTTCTGGGAAGATTGAATAGTTGAGGCTCCTCATAATGATGCTGATCCAAGGACACGCCAGAACCTCAAGAAAAGAACGAGGGGACCACAGGGTCTGCGTGACTGTGAACCGCACGACTTCTGAGTCTGATAAGCCATAGAAGGCAAATTGTCTTCTGGTGGGAAGATCATTTCTATTTGACTCAGAATAAGAGGGTTTTGTTTTTGCTTGGTTTGGTTTTGAGGCTGTCTTACTTCTAAGGAGTCATTATCTTTTAGAGATATACAGTGAGATGTTTGTGGATGAAATGATATGACTGAGGTCTGCTTTGCAGTGATACAGAGAGGGGGAATAGGTGGGAGCAGAGTCAAAACAAGATTCGTGGTGAGTGGATATGGGTGATGGAGACATGAGGCCCATACTATGCTCTCTATTTTTGTGTGATTTTGGAATTATTGAATATTAAGAGTTATGTGAATAAACAGTTAAATAAAAAGTGACTTCTTCCTACAGGGAAACTCATTTATTTTTGCTTGGTACCCATGATGTGATGCAGAAGCTCTGTGTGTAGGTTTCAGAAACGTAATAAGAAAAAACATATTGAAACAAAATGTAAATGAGGATTGCTATTCTTTTGTGAAAGTTTACCCAAATCATGCTCAATGGAAAATATCAAGATATTATTATTCAGGATGTACTTTTAGAGTATCTTTCCTGTGGACTTTGCTGTATGGACTTTGCTCCTAAATAACTTGGGGTAGAGGAGAACCAGGTAAGTTATATATGAAATAAGATTGGTTGTGAATTAAAATTTCTTCAGTTTTGGGGAAGGATACATGGGAGTTCATTATACTATTTGTTCTACTTTTGTATATGCTTTAAATTTTTCATAGAACTTTTTTAAAAAAAGAAACCTATACTGCACATCCAAAACATGGCCATTTTACATTAGGAAAGTATTAACTTTGATGATTTTATGAAATGTAATATTATGTTATTTCTCTTTCACCTCCTTAGATTTTGTGTTTTCTAATATATTGCTATTTGTCCATTTCTTTTGTTTTCCCCCACTCCTTAGTTTTGTCTGTTGTATGGAACCAAGTTGGTGTTTCAGGAGCGGGCCTGGTATTTAGAACATAAATACTTGACTCCCGTGGCCAGCCTGAGGATCAGGAATCAGGTAAGGTCCCTGGGGTACAGAAAAACACTTTGTACATCAGCCTGGTCTCTTTGCTTTCTTAGTAAACAGTCCTGCCAATCTTCTATCGGTTTCCACTCATGGATTTTTATGCCTCTGGGACTTCACATATATGTTTTCACTGCCTATCATGATCGTATTACACTTCAGAGTTTAGGTGACAAGGGAATGACTCATTGTACATGAGCTTTCTAAATGAAAAAGAGAGGAAGGTGTCAAAGTGTTTTCCTTGTCGTGGCAAAAAAAAAGTATTAATGATTTCTTTTCTGCTTCTTATCAAAGCCTATTAATACATTGTTCGTATTAAGAAGAAAGATCCGGGGTACTTTTATGTCAGTGGTAGCCATGGGGAATTCAATACAATAGCTATGGAGCACCTGAAAAAGAAGGTGAGGCCAGTATTCACCACTAAAATGCTACTGCAAAGAAAAAGAATGTGAAACAGCATACTCATCAGTAAAACACATTTCTGATTACGTCCTTTCTGCAGGAGAGATGCTGAAACACAAACAGGTGTAAGACTCAGTCTCCACATAAAGGGAGCTCATATCCAAGGACACAAAACCAACTTTAAAAACATAAATACTGGCCAGGTGTGGTGGCTCATGCCTGTAATCCCAGCACTTTGGGAGGCTGAGGTGAGCAGATCTCCTGAGCTCAGGAGTTCGACACCACCTTGGGCAACATGGTGAAACCCTGTCTCTACCAAAATACAAAAAAATTAGCTGGGCATGTGCCTGTAGTCCCAGCTACTCGGGAGGCTGAGGCACGAGAATCACTTGAGCCCCGGAGTTGGAGGTTGCAGTGAGCAGACATCGCGCCACTGCACTCCAGTTTGAGCTACAGAGTGAGACTCCATCTCAAGACAAAAGAAAATAACAACAACAGCAGCAACACACACACACACACACACACTCTCACAGGGGCATGGAGGTTTTCAAATGAACTTGGCCATAAGAATAAATTCAGAGTTGACAGAAGAGATGTCTTAGGAATAAATGCCATTCTTATGCTAGACCTTGAAGAATAGAAAATTAAGAGGTCGTGGCCCAACTGAGAGGGGAAAATGCAGTTGAAACTTCAGACAGGGTTGATAAAGGGAGGAAGATCATAGAAATGGAGTACTTAGACATATTAATAAATAATACAGACTTTACCTGTCTAAAGGCAAACCTGGAGAAGTCTTCAGGAATCAGACTACAGTGGACCCTGGAGAACCTGGAATAATCTTTTTCCTTTTCAGGAAAACAGAGAAAAGTATATGTAATGATGCTACAGTAATGTATTTCTATATAACAAATGACTCCAAACTTATGACTTAAAACAACCACCACGTATTATTTGTCTTGGTCCATTTTTTGCTGCTGTAACAGAATACCATAGACTGGGTAATTTATAAGGAAAAGACATGCATTGCTTACAGTGCTGGAAGATGGAAAGTCCAAGGTCGAGGGGACCACGTCTGGCAAGGGCCTACGTGTAGCACCATCCCATGGAAGGGAAGAGCAAGAGAGCGTGAAAGCAAGAGAGAAGGAAGGGAGGGGTTGAACTTATCGTTTTATTAGGAAACCCTCCTGAGATAACAGCATTAATCCATTCATGAGGGCAGAGCCCTCATGGCCTATTCACCTTCTAAATGTCATCTCTCTCATCAGTGTTGCATTGGGGATTAAGTTTTCAACACATAAACTTTGGGGGACACATTCAAGCCACAACATCATTTCTCATGATTTTGCACTCTAGACAGAGTTCAGCTATTAACAGACAGTTCTTCTGCTGCATGTGGTGGCTGCTGGGGTTAGGGGTTCAAAATGACTTCTTCACTCTTATGGCTGGCACCTCAGCTAGGATGACAGGAATAGATGGGCAATTGTCTCCTTCCATGTAGCCTAGTTTGGGCCTGTTCACAGTAGGGTAGTTTCAGGTGGTCGAATGTTTTATTTGATGGCTTCCAGGAAGGAGAAAGTAGAAGATGCCAGTCTTCTTAAAGGATAGGCCAAGAACAAACAGTGTTACTTCCACTGAATTCTATCAGTCAAAGGAAGTCACAGTGCCAGCACAGATTCAGAGCTGGAGGAGACACTTTATCGCTTGATGTGAGGAGTACCTGTACATGCTGGGAAGGAAAGAATTGATGGCAGCTATCTTTGAAGACTATTTCCCACAAAGAGAGTGCCCACTTTGGGAAGATGGAAGAATACTTTTTAATTAGAAAAAAAAAACAAACAAACTACATAAGGGAAGATTTTAAATCTGTGCCACCAGGTATTTCAGTGACACAGAATTAGATAAACAATATACAATATATCAAAGGAATATTTAGTGAAGGAAATGAACTTTCATATAAAACATTGAAGTGCTTTTGTATTTTTTTTTTTTTGAGATGGAGTCTTGCTTTGTCACCCAGGCTGGAGTGCAGTGGCATGATCTCAGCTCAGTGCAACCTCGGCCTCCCAGGCTCAAGTGATTCTCTTTGTCTCAGCTTCCTGAGTAGCTGGGATTACAGGCACCCGCCACCATGCCTGGCTAATTTTTGTGTTCTTAGCAGAGATGGGGTTTCACCATGTTGGCCAGGCTGGTCTTCAACTCCTGGACTCAAGTGATCCGCCAGTCTTGGCCTCCCAAAGTGCTGGGATTACAGGCATGATCCACCACACCCGGCCTGCTTTTGTATTCTTACAGTGCCACATGCTTTCCACACTTCTCACTTACTGGATCCTCTTAACAGCCTGGGAGATAAGCAGGCAGGAGCCAGCCACTGTGGACCAAGCTTTATCTGTAGGGCTATAGGACATCTCAAAGCCTTCTTTGTCACATCGCTGAGCTGCCAACCCTGAGCACTCATCCCGTTTGCTGGTATCCCCAAAGGGGAGAGGATAGTGGAGCTGGCACGAATCCTTCCTTTTCCACTGCCACCATAGCTCTTTGCAGGGATCTCAAGGCTTTAGAGAAATGATTTGCAGCCATTCTTCACAAAAAATATCTGGGACCCTTGGTCAATTGAAAGTGCTACATGAAAGTGTGCTTGCAAAGACAGTGTGCTTGCAGAGAAGATTAGAAGAGACTGGGCTGACTGGTATTACTGACATGGGTCCAGGTGTTTTCACATGATAGCTCTCCACAGTTACTGATTCTTTCTTCAGATGCATCTAACATTCTGGTTGCTTCATCCCCCTAGTTTTTAATTCCAATTGTTAGAATTTTTATTTTTAAAATTATTGTTACGTTATTATTATTATTTTGAGACAGAGTCTTGCTCTGTAACCCAGGCTGGAGTGCAGTGGCCTGATCTTAGCTCACAGCAACCTCTGCCTCCCGGGTCCCTGTTCAAGCCATTCTCCTGCTTCAGCCTCCTGAGTAGCTGGGATTATAGGCACGTGCCATCATGCCCAGCTAATTTTTGTATTTTAGCAGAGATGGGGTTTCCTCATGTTGGCCAGGCTGGTCTTGAACTCCTAACCTCGTGATCTGCCCCCTTCAGCCTCCCAAAGTGCTGGGATTACAGGAAAAAAGAAATTTTTTATGTCATACATGTCACTTTTTCATTTCCTGTTCCCCAAAGATATATTCAATATTGTATTTTATTTGGTATACGTTGAAACCATGGATTTGCCAAGCTTGTCCATAATACCTGCCTAGTACCCATCAAAACTGACGATGCATGAAAGACGAGAAAAGACTGAAGCCATCACAGTGCGGAAGAGACTCAGGAGACATGACGACTAAATACAATGCAGTATCCTGCATTGAATCCTGGGACAGAAGTATATGAGTTTCTATGAGGAGAAAAACTGGAAAAATCTGAATAAAGTCTATCGTTTAGTTATTAGTAATGCATTAATATTGGTTTCCTAGTTTTTACAATGAGCCCTAGTTATGGGGAAACTGGGTGAAGGGCATATGAGAAGTCTTGTTATCTTTGAAACTTTTCTGTAAATCTGAAAGTATTCCAAAATAAAAAGTTTGCTAAAAACAGCAAAAAGTTACACATCTAGATGTGTATAAGAGACAGATACTGGGCCGATAATTCTTTATCCTATTTTTTGAAACTTTTCTGTAAATCTGAAAGTATTCCAAAATAAAAAGTTTGCTAAAAACAGCAAAAAGTTAGCATAGGGAGATGGCAATCAGCCCAAACTGTTTCTAAATAAATAAAACTTTCCAGAACGCCCAGGACTTACACTGACGCTCCAGTCTAATGGCAATTAGAAATGCATATATATATACTTAAAAATTATTTCATTCTCACTAGGATCTTCAAGGAAAGTAAAGCTAATATAATCCCCATTCAACAAATGAGTAAAACTAAGAAAGAGAGACATTAAATGACTGAAATGACTGTCCAAGAGTCTAGCTGAACACAGAAACCAGAACTCCGAATCCCAAATGGAGGTGGGTTAAGCTCCAGGCATCACCCATTTGTAGTCCTGCTTGTTCCCTTGGCACACTATAGGGCACTAGACGCCCTGAGGAGTTCGCACGCTTCCCCAAAGCGGCAAAATCCATCCACATATTCAGAAGGTAGCCCAAGTGCCCAGTTGTTCACCTGAGGCCCCACAAGAGAAGGAGTTGGGTTGAGGTTTATTTTTAAAATTCCAATCCCCCCCCGGTCCTTCAAATTAGATAACTAACGCCCGTTCTTTTGTCTGGAACTTCAGTGTTGTCAGAGCAGGTCCATATTCATTCTCATATCATCCTCACAAGCACCCTTCGGTGTGAACAGCTGTTACTCCCCTGTAGGCACTGGGAAACTGAGGTTGACTTGCTGCTTAGTGAGCAAATGGTAAGCTGGGGCTTCTATGGCAGGTTTCGGACTCCACTCCACTGCTGTCCTAGTGTCTCCCGGGCTGGGGAGGAGGATGAGCTGCTCCCCCTTGCTGCCCTCTCTCTGAGACCTTGGCTCGAAGGCCAGTGGTGGTGCCCCGGGGCTCCATCCTAACAAGGTCTCTAAATACACAAGATTCCTGTGTCCTGGCCATTAA